AAAAATGACCGGTTTTTTTCCTATTCTGGCGTTTCTTATAATGATAATAATAAATAATAATAATAGTAGGATCCTAGCCAAAGAATGTGATCAAAATCTATATACACATTATCTAAATATATGTGCAACAAATTAATGAACAAAATAATAATAAAAAAAGAGAAAAAGAAAAACTATAATAAAATATGCTATAATAAAAATATATCTACTAATGTATAACCATAAAATCTATTTAGTAAAAACTAATCCTAATAATATATGTTTTAAAAAAAACATAATAATAATAATAATGGCAATCATTTATATTTATATATAATTCCTGCATTTGCAGTCTCAACATCCAAGTCTATGTCCTTTATGTTCCTAAGTACTCTTCTTCGGTGGTTCTTAATAATAATAATAATAATAATAATAATAATAATAATAATAATAATAATAGTAGTAGTAGTAGTAAGAATACTCTCAAATAACAACAACAATAATAATAATAAAAAAATAAAATGAAGATTATAAATATAAAATAACAAATATATGTACAAATTACTTATTCATCGATGAAAGCATATTGGTAAAATAAATCAATAGCTCAAAACACGAGTCCAGCTCTTTGCACTGATATAATATTATATTAAAACTATACATTTATTATTTAATTCTCAATAATTCTAAATTTCCGCTACATTGGCATTAAGGTTAAATTCATTCAAGAATTCATTGTCCTTATAAAAAGGTGTTCTTGTCCCCCTGACACACCTGTGTACTGACTTAATTATTTCAAAAGATAATCGAGTTCTAATCCATGTTATAGTACTTGCATACGTGTCCCCTGTCTTCTTTGTTAACTTCTCAGCAAGGTGCTTTAGAAAAATCTGCGCCAGTTGTGAATAATAAGGAAGAGCCAAGACACAGGCAAAAGGTTTAATAGCTCCGTAAACAACCGAGATGAACAACGAAACTCGAAGAGAACAAAAGGGCCGACCAATGTCGATCACATGACTAACTGTAACTACTGCTTACAGTACTGGCGTGACTTCTCTTTTCTTTTTTTTTTATAACGAGGATGTTGGTGCTAAGGGCTCGTTCCGCTTGACGACGAGTAGACCGTCTGATGCAAAGTTGCAACGTTGAGGAAACGTTTGACATCTTTGATGTTGTTGAGTTTCTTTGAAGGTCGTGTACCTTGGATAAGATGAGCATGAGTACGTCGCATATAAGGGCATTCGGTCTGTATGGATAACCATGCAGAGCGGCTTGTGAATGGTAACCGGACTCTGCCTTCGATGACATCGTTGATGGAAGTCTTTCGGACGACTGACTGTCTGGTGTCGTTAACAAAGGTACAGATCTGACAGGACTCATTCTCGCATGGAGGGGCGTTGCAACTAGCAAAGTCAGAAGGAAGGATGGCTGACAGCAACATGTCGAACTGAAGCTTGGTAACGGCTTACGACTGAGAAGAATGTAGACACACGAGGACTAGCTGAGAATTCACCTCTACAAAGCTTTTCAAAGGCTTGCACACAGGGCTTGCTATCAGTGAGTATGCAGGTATTCTTGCTCGACTGAATGACAAATGGGCTGAAGTGTTTCGTGGCTGCTGCGATGGAGAGTGCTTTTATTTCACATGGTAGCCATGTGGTCTGCAGACCACGCAGTTTGGCACTGAAGAGTCCAGACAGATTGTTTTGTCAAGTAATGTACAGGGTAGCACCAATTCCGGGGTTCTTAACGGCTCCATCTGTCACTATCCAGAGCTGGTCACTTGGCTTTGGTAGGGTGATACAGTGGGTTGACTGTAGGGCGTGTTGGGCTTTCTGGAAAGAACTTCTAAGCTCATGGGTTTCTTGTGATTGGCGCCCAGCGATGACATCGTAGAATGGGGTAAGACGTGTGGAGCACTGAGGTATGACGCGAGACAGGACTTTGTATGCACCAATGAAGGACCGTATCTGACCAACTGTGTTTGGGGCAGGACACGAAGCTAGTGTGTTGACTCGGTGGGGGCTGGCTTTTAAGGTACCAGAACTCCATATCCAACCAAGTATGGTTGTTCCTTTTGGATTGATGGCTGTTTTAGATGCTAAGAGACGCAGCTCACATCTATGGAAAGCATGTAAAAGCTTTCTCCAGTTGAGGAGCAGTTCTTGAGGAGTGTTTTCCCTGCAATACAAGTCATCAGCGATCTTCACCACGGATCCCTCGTGCAAGAGGGGACCAAGTACACGGCACATCAGCTCCTCTAGGGCTGTTTCTGACCCAGGCATAGCCATAGCGGATCGTTTGTAGAGACGTACACCTTTGAAGGGGGTGGCGACGCCGCAGTACTTCATAGACCCTTTGGATAGAGGGATTTGGTAGAAGGCACTTGTGAGGTCAGTCTTGATAAGGTGTTTCCACTGGGCAATGTGTCGTAAGGCGGTGTCGACATCAGGAATTAAGGAAGGCTGTGGCTTGCTGTAGCGGCCTACATCAGCAAAGGCTGTCACAAGGCGGTGATCTCCGTTGGGCTTTTTGACAAGGAATGAAGGGTTAAGGTATTCGATTGTGACTCCAACTTCCTCCGGGTTTCCAAAAACACCAAGTTCTTCGAGTTGGTCGAATTTCTCCTGAAGTTGGACAAGTTTGCCACGATTGTATTGGGGAAGACGACCTTTGCGTTGGGGTGGCTCTACTGGACCCATGTTCACTTTGGCTTGGAACGGACCGGCTGCACCGTTGTAACCTTGAATTTTGGGTCAAAGACAGAATCATATTCCTTGAGTATGGACTGAAACTCAGCCTGTATGTTCAGTGGCAGTAGATTGTCAGGGTCAACCTGTACGGCGGCAGAGTGGTTCTTACCAACTGGGGTCGTCTGTGTTGGTTGAGTGGGCTGTGTATGATCCACCTTGTTATTTGGTTGGAAGGTCAGGGTAGCCTGGCAGAAGTGTTCATTGCGTTTGAGGGTGAGTGGTTCCGCTGTTAGGTTTGGAATGCGGACTCTTCTTGCGACGCTGGACACAATACACGGTTGAGGCCACATCTCTATAGAGACTAACTGCTTGACTACTGGGGCATAAGTTCGGGGCTCGATTGCGTAGTCACAATCAGATGGTGCATCGGATGGCAGTTCTAGTTCTAAGAATTCTCCAGGCCAGACAGTTTGTGTTGACGGTGGTGCTCTCAAAAGAAATAACGTGCAGCCAGGTTTTCGTTTTTCTTTGGCAACGAGCAATAGTGGTAGCATGTACCATCTCCGAGGATCACTTCTCTTTTAGCAGGGCGGACAGCGGTGTCGTTGGCTTCCATGAAGGGGGTTCCGGCAAGTACTTCAACATCTAGGTCTTCTACGACGAGACCTTCAAACTGGGAACTGTGGTTGTTTCTAGTGAAAGTAGCTCGTGTCTCTCCGACAACTGTTAAGGTAGACGACCCATTTGCTTGATGGACGGACTGTGAGCTGGGCACAATTTTAGCTCCTAGACGTTGAGCGGTGGATCGGCGGATCATGTTACCGGTTGCTCCACTGTCGATAATGATGCGAGTTGTATGGTGACCATGGAAGGCATCTAAATATGGGGACTCTCTGGTCTGGACCCTAAAGGCTAGGGCACGGGCGTTGACTTGATCAGTGTCTGCGTGTTGTGTGAAGGGAGCGGACTCACTTTCAATGTCGTCGTCCTGTTCTTCATCTAGGATGTCCACGATCTGTCGAGCTTTGATCATGTACTGTTTATCACTTTCAGGAAGAAACTCACACTGACCTAGGAAGTGACGGAATTCGTGGCGTCCAGCCTGCTTGCACAGAGGACAGGTTTTACCCTGTCGGGGTGTTTTGTTCGTAGGCCTGCTCTTGGGGGAGTTGCGACGAAATTCTATTGTTACTGCTGAACGGAGGACCTTGGCGTCATCTGTCATATGGATTTCTTCAAGTAGTGAGTCAAGAGCTTGTGAAATTTCGGGCTTGATGGAGGCAAGAGTTCGGGATCGTAGCTCTGTGCCGTAGCGCTGCTTGACTAGTTTGGGGAGCTGGGGATGAATCAGCTTCAACCACGTCAGGATAATAAGGTTTTCAAGCGTAGGAGATAGTTCTTCGTCTTCAATCATCGCTTCCCCATGGTGGGTTAGACCATTTGTCCGAAGCAGAGAGTCTTCGACAAAGGCCATTAATCGCTGGTAAAGGTCTTCTGTGCATTCATTGGGCTCGAGGTGTACGTCAGCGAAGTCAATAAAGTGTGCACCGGTTACTTGGAAACAAAAATGCTGTCTGATTGTTTGCCAAATGAACTCTAGGGACGTGGAGCTTTTGACTAACGAACTCTGGGAGATTATTGGGCAATAATTGGCGATTTGACCAAGCATTAGCTCTAAAAAGTTGGTTTTCTGTTGTGCAGTAAGGCGTTTGGCTTGGGGAACAACTGATCCATCATCTTGAAAACCACGTAGAGGTTGTGTTTTCGATTTCTTTTGCCATGTAAGTCCTTCCGCGAGGAAGGGAGCGAAATTGCTGTCCAAAGACAACGTGTAAATCAGGTTCTGCTTCCAGTTTTCGAAGCTGTTTATGGTCTCGTGTTTGGTTAAGCACCACTGTTTCGGTGCACGATGAGTTGAAGCCATCAAAATACCTTGGATTACTGTGCTGTCACGGCGACTTTACGCTGTTTTGACACTTCTCTAGGAGCATGGGTTAGTCCAACGACTGCCACCACGCCAGTTGTGAATAATTAGGAAGAGCCAAGACACATGCAAAAGGTTCATAATAGCTCCTTCAACTTGGTAAACAACCGAGATGAACAATGAAACTCGAAGAGAACAAAATGGCCGACCAATGTCGGTCACATGATCAACTGTAAGTACCGCTGACCGGTACTGGGGCTGGCATACTGCCCCCATCCCTCCATTTGTACCAAAGACTTAATTATCATTAATTATTATTATTATTATTATCATTAATTATTATTATTATTATAAATGAATGTAATTTTTGATTCTTGGTTTAACAGTCTCCATATAGTGTTGTCATGGTGAAGACTCTGTTAGCAGTGGTTACCTTGGTAACGTTTCTGACGGAAAATCTATGTAAGTATCAGCAAAATGTAATGTTTTGAAATTTTAACCATTGAGAACTCATTCTTTAAACAGAATAAAATTAGCGACTTCGAGTTTATAATCATAATATGTTAACGTATGTATTATTTGAAATTGTTTATGTTATTATTTCCAAACGATATGGACTAAATGACCTCGTAATTTACATTATCCTATCTAATTTGGGGACCCTCCTTTTTAATTCATATTTTCATACTAAAAATTGTAATAAACGATTATGCCAAATTTGAAAAATCTGTCGAAAAAAAACTGCACGATTGCATTACTTTTAATTTAAATTTAGCATATTTACTTTTCTAAACAGCTCTTGCAATATTTAAAAGCGACTATTTAGACTACGTTCCTAACTGGTACTCGACTAGTATTGTTTTCTGGAAGTTGGTTAGATTGCCTGTTCCCATGATAACTGTTTCACGGTTTGAATATGCTGGCAATAGTAATTTAAGTCACGTATTGCATTTTTATATCAACCATAATGAAGATTAATTGTAAGCTTATTCATTGTCGATAAAAAGGTAGTCAGCAACCTGGATTGAACAGCAAGCACCAGGTCCGTCAAAATGGTGCTGCACATCTTTACAACTATCCGGCTTTGAACAACCACAACGATCGATCTGTTCCTCTCGTCAGCAATAATGTGCCCAACAACCAAATTTATTGGAACAAGTTTTTAAACAAGGTTTCTTTATCGGATGGAGGTAACCGAAAGGACAAGAATCAATCCGCTAATATCAACCCCAATGAGACAAAACACGAAAACAACGACAGTTTGAAGTTGCCAAAACAACAGAGAAAAAATCTTCTTGCAAAAGGTATAAACGGTCAGACAAGTGACACTTGTGGTGTATTTCTTGAATATTAATTTACATATTTTGTTTCCATCTCTAGTCATCAAGAAGACTTCTACCAATCCAGAAGCAAACCCAGCTAATGACGATGTGACGGCATCGAAAAGGGTGGCTCCTGTTGTAGCGGGCGCATTAACAAAGTTGGCGGGGAACGAGAAGGTCCAAGAAGCCGTAGTCGATAAAGGAATCGAAGTAGCAGGAAAACTGGTTGACAAATACTTTGAAAACATTGACGAAGCTCAAAAAAAATCCTCAGAATTTCTTAAGAAACAAGTAAGTAGCCCATTGGCATTGAATTGAATACAATTCTTAAAATAATCAATTCTTTTATGAAAAACATATATATATATATATATATATATATATATATAATTTGTAATGCTTGCATGGCTGCATCCTATGATTAAGGTAATGTGGGCGTGCACTCTTCATGCGTCACTTCTGCGCACACGCTTTTTGTCAGTTTTATTTGTTAGAAATTTCTGTGGTAAACCCATTCCAATATGGCATCTGAACCTTAAAAAACAGGTTTCAATTCTAGTTAAACTAGTTTTCTAGTTTTGTTGAACAATCCCTGAAGGAGTAAGGGGGGATTGATTAAGACTTTTATGTATAGTTGCAGGAAACATTCCTTGTCATTTCTGCGCATGTGTACATCAACCAATATTTTTTATCATACACAGATTAAACTTGATATAATGCCAGACAAAGGATGGGAAACTGAAGATATGTTTGTTCCTCCTGGATATCACATCAATGCCGAAGTTGAAGGTTCAGAACCATCAACCGGTGCTGATGACACGGTACAACCCTATAACTACCCGGCAGGCCTTGGGGGTGTATTAATGAATGGTTGCTGGGGAACTGATTACAAAGAGGGAGACCCGTGCTATAATGCGATGGAAAAAACTGAGCAGTGCAGAGTGAGTAAACATTTCACTTCAAAATTTTATGTGCAAATATTTTTGTTCCTTACCTTGCTTGAACTTGTTCTTTTTCAGGACATGATTGATGGTGCTGCATTTATTGGTGTTGGTTTTGACGGTCGTGGTCAATACAGCCCTGAGTCCAGGAAGATGAGTATCATCCAGAGAAGCTGTGGTGGACATTCATCGTAAGTGCTGAAATGAAAGGTCCAAAGACGATTAATTTTTTGAAATTAACTAACAATATATTACGCTGCATCCAGATATGATAATCTTCAAGTGCCAGACACGATGAACGTTCACGGAATCTACGATACTAGTGCACACATGACCGTATTTACGTCACGATCTGAGTATCAAAAGTATTTACAAAATGAAGCAGGAGTGTCAGGGTCCGTCTTGGGGTTCTACGCTGGTGTCAAGACTGCGTGGGGAAGCTCCGAAAGCGGCGCAAAACAAACCAATCTTGCCATCTTTGATATCGATGTGGACAGGTAGGAGAAACATTTTCAAGTGTCCATTTTGAGCCTCGCGTAAGTTATTTGTTGATCTATCTGCTCTTTTTATCCCTTTATGCCTAAAAGGTTTCTCTCTTAAATCTTTGTGCTAAATGAACACCCTTTCTTCACCTATGCTTTGTTTCATGTCATTGATGAACTGAAATGTTTGAGTATGCGAAATATCTTGTTAGTTTAGCTAAAAAAGGAAGTTAAAATTAATTTTTTGAGAAAACGTAATTGCTGTACGTTGCCTTTGTTGAAAGAAAACCACTTTTGAATTAAGTCAATGACCATCATTGGTGCTATTTTTGTTGTTGCTTTTCTAGATACGAGATTTTTCAAGATGAAGTCAAGCCACAGGATCTGAGCAGAAGTTTCTTAAGAGAGTTTATTAACCTTCCAAACTCCTATTTTGAACCTGGAGCACCAGCTAAATTCCGTGAGATACATTTCAATCCTTTCAAAAAGATATTTTGGCCCAGAGTTGTAAAGTTCATTTTGCATCAGGGTTGCACATATGCATATCGCACGACTATTATTTCTTTGAACGCTATTCTTGGGGTGCATGTTACGTCATGGCCGCCATCTTGGTTGACGATAACAAATTGTTCCTTATAAGCTTCACTTGTTAAATCAGCCAACATGGCGACTGTTTCATTGTTACTTATATCTCAAGGGATTTTGAGTCATGTGGTTGCGTCCCAAGAATTATGATATGTATACATAAATTGATATGGAACATGTTCTTTTTTAAACAAAAGAATTACATGTGTTCTGAACATAAGAAAACATAATGCTAATCAAAGGTAGAGAGGGCTGCTTTTTGGAGGTTGATGAGACGAGAAAAGTATTCACCCTTAAAGCTACAATACGATATAGAAATGGCGTCTTTGCAGAAAATGAATCCTAAAACTGACTTCTTTCTCTTGTTTTATCAGAGGACTTCATTCTTCGGTGGGGAACTCACTACA